CTTCCTGTCTGAGCCCACGGTTTTGTGGCTGTCTGTCTTAGATGTGGGCTCCTCAGAACAGCTGTGCTTAATTCCCCGGACCTAGTGGCGACCACAGAGCCCTGTTCCTAGAAGTTGGTGCCCAGTGACCTTGATGTGGCCTTGTACCAGGGCCCCGGTGGATGTGGCACCAGGGGCTGGAGAGCCTGGTTCTGCCTACGAGGCTCACTCTTTCACCCAGAGGGCAGGGCATGGGTCGAACACTCACCAGATGGGCAGTGGTACCCAAGTCTGTCCCCAGAGGTACCCAAGTCTGTCCCCAGCCTTGCTCTTCTCAGAAGGAGGCGGCATCCAGCATCCTGGGGTGGGGCCCCTCTGCAGCAGGGGGCTCTCCACTTGGGTCGCTGCCCGGGTCGTAGACTTGGAGGCCCACCCATGGCTCTGCTGTCGTTCTGCGGGAGGTAGCTGGGGTGCTGACCTGTGGCGTTCGGTGGCCCTGTGGTCCTGTAGAGTGACTTCCTGGAACAGGCGGTCCTTGGAGCACCTTGTTTGGGGAGTGAGGGGTTCTGTGGGCAGAGGCTGGTGCCTGGAGCCCAGGAGGCCCAGGCTGTGCTGCTAACTGGAGGAAGCCTGAGGAGTGGCATGGTACTCCCGTGTCACCAGCAGACGTGGGGACCGGTGGTCTCAGGGCACGAATGGAACCGGCTCCCAGGGCAGCGTTCCCATGCTCCCAGCACAGTGCCGCCCTCTGCGCACCCTCGCTCACGGCTGTGGGACACGGGACCCACCCTGGGCACACAGAGGCCCACGAGGCCTCTTCACTGCCTGCCCACGTCCTGTGCCTCTTCTGGGCCGGCGTGGTCGACTGTGTCTCGGGCAGAGCGAGGGCAGAAGGGCCACCTGGGTTTCTCACTGGAGCCTGAGTGGTTCTGTCTTTGCACGCGGTGCCGCTGCTCAGGGGCCTCGTTCTTGGGGTCTGTCTTTTCTCTGGATGTGTTGACCTGGACACAAGGAAGAAAAACTCACTAGTGTTAAGTGGGACTGGGACTTTGATGGGGCTGTGCCCCTTCCTGCTCCTCCATCCCTCAGAGACCCACGGAGCGGCTGCCTGCTATCCTCGGGGCCTTGAGACCCACGATGGCCGCGCTGACCAAGAGTAGGCCGTGTGGCTGCAGGTTTCAGGAGAAGTAACCACCAGGCCTGTAGAGCCAGGCCATCCAGGGACGTGAACCCTGTTGGTGTTTTAGAATCGCAGCCTGGATTTCAAGAGCAGGAGGGTTCCTGGGTTCAGCCTGCGGCGTGGCAACCCACATCAGCGGTCGGGTGCCTGCAGATCACCTCAGGGTAGCCACCGAAGAGCCTCTGCACCGCTGCTCTCTGTGCTTAGACTCATTCCCTGGGTCTAAGCCCCAGCTGCACACAGGGCAGGAACCGAGGCGCACAGTCCTGGGTCTCGTAGGCTTGGGTTCCTGGGGAAATGGGCCAGAGACAGCACCCTAGAGGTGGTAAGCAAGGAAAAAGGTGGGGTGAGGGTGCTCTGGGGCCCGCACATTTCAGCAGGGCCCTGTGTGGTGAGCGATGGAGTTTGGAGAATGTCTGGGCAGGGCCTTCCCAGCTGCAGGAAGAGCCTGTGCAGAGGCCCTGGAGTGGACAGGCTTGGGGGCTGGGGCCTGCAGGGACAGCACAGAGCCAGGCGGAGCCGGGCAGAGACTGCAGGAGCAGCCACATGGGGCCTGGAGATCTCAGAAGTCCTGGTGGGGGTGGGGCCTGGTGGAGACCACTGATTGAGGGGAGCACAGAGCTGGGCGCAGGAAGGAGCGGGTGACTGATCGAGGCCAAAGCTGGTGTGCAGGTGCTCAGAGGGGACAGGCGGAGGTCATGCGGACGGTCCGGCAGCCAGGGTGTGTGTGTGACCAGGCGAGAACTCTGGCTTCTGGGCTGGTTGCAGGAGTTGCCAGTGACAGGTGGCAGGCTGGGGGAGGAGCTTTGGGACCAGCCCCAGGATCTGGTTTGTGCCCTGGAAACTCAAGCCACCCTTTTGGCTGTGGTTCAGCCTGTTGGAGCCCAGCCGGGTCCACCTGTGCCGCGAGGGGCCCAGACTGCCCTGGCGTCGGCTCGCGGCTCCTGGGGTTGTTCCGGTCACACGCCTGCTCACTCCTGGCACGAGTTCCGGAGGGCAGGTGCTAAGTGCCTCTTCATGTTGCCTTCCTGATGTTAGAAAGTGCTGTGTGCAGACATTTTCACACACACGTCTCCGTACAGGGCAGACAGGTTAGCAAGCCTTCCCCGTGCTCCTACTGAAGCTGGGTGTGGCACTTAGTGGCCCGGAGCCTCTGCTCACAGCGCAGCAGCATCGTGAGTCACGGGACTCGCAGAGCTGGGAGGAGGGGGAGAGGCCCTGGGTTTCCTGGAAGCCCATGGGGGTTGGGCTGGTCCAGGGCCCATGTGGCCAACCTTGGCAATGGCAGGGCAGGGCGGAGCATGGGTGGGGTGTGTGGCGGAGGGAAGCCTCAGACGCACCGGAGGGCAGGCAGGAGCACGCAGGCCCTGCAGAGCCTGGCTTTGTAAAGATGTGGGCAGCCTCTGGAGGGTTTTGTGCAGGGGAGTGGCATGACCTCAGAGGACAGCTTTGAGCAACCAGAGGCCGCAAGGGATGGTTGGCGGGAAGGAGAGGAGCTGGGGAGAAGGTCAGCAGGCGGGCACCGAGGAGCCTGAGGAGCAGGAGAGGCTGGAGGACTCCACCACCAGGGAGGCCGGGGGCTGCTGGGTGGGCTTCTCCACCTGCACCTGGCTTGGGTTTGGGGATGTGCCCAGCTTCACCTTTGACCCCCGCCCTGCTCCTACTGGTCAGGGAAGGTCTCTGAGGACACAAGGCCTCTTCCACACTGCGGCTGGCTGCCTCTTTCTTTGCTGTTTAGGAGTTGAGTGTCCCTGCCCTTGCTTGGAGGTAGTGTTAGGACCCTGTCCCAGGGCAGTCTGCTTCCAGCCCTGGAGAAAAAGCTGTCATTCCGGGGACACAGCCCTGAGGCCCGCAGGACACATGCCCACGGGTGGGAGGAGGGCTGTGTGTGAACGGGTGCGTTGAGGCCAGCGTCGGTGCTGTGAACGCAGCCTCAGCACCTGGCTCCTGTCCAGCCAAGGGCAGGAGAGGATGGCTTACAGGCCCCAGGCACCAGCCTCTGGGTGCCGCCGATCTCTTGGAGGACTGCAGGTCCCTGCCTACCTGCCAGCGCTGCTCTTCAGTCTCAGCACTGACTCGGGGCAACAGGTCCAGCCCCTGCCCGTGACAGAGTCCTGATTCCCCTCCAGGGAGCACAGTGGTGGTCTCTGTGCCTGCCCACCCCTGAGGCCTGGCCTTTGCCCCAGGCCACATTCGTGGTGGTGAGAGGGAATCCAAAATTCTGGTCCCTCCTCGGGTTGGTCCTGGGTGGCTCTGCTGACCTCCACGTGCGTCCCCAGTGCTTATGGGACAGTGCCTGCCCCTCGGCCCAGCAGGACCCGCTCTCCCTTGGCTCACCTGCCTGGACAAGGCTGGCCCACCCAGAGGTGCCCCACTCCTGGGTGACACCGTCCCCGTCCGGGACTTGGAGGGAAGGGGGTCATCCAGTAGCTTTCCTGGCGCCTTCCTCACCGTGGCCCTTTGAAAGAAGTCAGCGCGGTTCTAACTTAGCGCCAAGTCGCCTTTCTAAGCAGCGCCAGTGGCTTCTCCACCGCAGGGAGGAGCCAGCCCAGCTCACCCGGCTCCATCCCTCCCTGCTGGCCCACCAGATGCCAGCTCGCCGCCGCACCTCCTGGGCAGCCTCTGGCCCCCATCAGGAGGCTGCCCCTGCTCCGGGACCTGTCCCTGTGCCAGCTCCAGGTTGGAGTCCTCTCGTACAGAGAGCACCGGAGCTCCAGCCCGAGAGCTCGGGGGCTGCATGCAGTTCTCCCCACAGCCTTCTCCCTCCTAGAGAACTTTTGGTGCAGGAGTGCGTCCTTCCGGGGTCTTGCAATTACGGGGAAGCCTCACCGGGGCTGCTGAGGGCTGGTCTCTCGGCCACTGGGGCTGGCGGTGGTGACAGAGGTGACGATCATGGAGACGCTGCTCCCTGTCCCTGCACCTGGCTCACGTGGATCACCCTGTTCGCTCTTCACACAGACCTGCTCTGTCGGTGCTGTGGTGCCCCAGGTCACAGATGGGGCGGAAGCTCAGCAGGGTTCGCGCTGAGCACACAGCGTGCCAGAGCCACAGGCTGCCGGGCAAGCCGCTCTTCTCCTGCAGAGGTGCGCTGGGGCCTGCGTGTCCCCGAGGCACACCCGCGTTGTTCGGGTGCTCCTGAGTGGCCACCTTGGCAGAGGGAACCTGGAGCCACGTGGGGTGAAAGTTGCCCTCTGTCAGCTGCCGGTGTCACAAGCCACCAGCCACCTTCTTTGTGTCCAGACCCTCTCCCGGTGCTTCCTTTCTGTGTCCCTGTCTCACGAGGGCAGACACCTCCCACAGAGCCCCTTCCCTGCCTGGTAGCAGCACAGCCCCTGGTTTCACGTGCACGTGCCACGCTGCAGATCCCCGTGGCCACTGTGCTTCCCACGTTCATTTGGGGCCCGGGGCTGGGGATGTGGCAAGGAGCACCCCTCCCACTGTGCTGCCCGCTCACTGCTGCCCAGGTGCCAGGTCACCCACACTGCTCCTCCCAGGGGACCAGCTGCCCTCAGGACAGACGAGGCCATCTGTGCTTTCCAGAGCCCTGGATCTGGCAGCGTGGCCTGCACGGTCCTGTGTCGTCCTTTGACTGCTGAATGGGCGGACCAGGTGGTGGGGCACATCTCACAAGCGCCATTGTGCCCTGGGAGGAGTGGCCGCATGCCCAGCGGGCTGAGGAGATGGCACAAAGTGGGCACAGTGCAGGCTGCTGTGCTCTCGGGCCAGGAGAAGAGAAACGGCCTCTCATGGAGGGGCCTGGAGTGTTCCCTCCTCCCCTCAGAGGACCCTCGAAGCCATGCTGCTCTTGCTCAAGGGAACTTTCTTCCTCCTGTTCTTTCAGGAAGAAGCACGCTGCCAAGTTGCCGCTGCGCAGCTTGGTTGCTTGAGACAGAAGCACCGTGGCTGCTCCAGGAAGCAGAGGAAGAGACATGTGCCCTTAGTGGACCCCTGGCCCAGGGTTTCCAGATGGCGGCCCAGCGGATCCGAGCAGCCAACTCCAGTGGCCTCCCTCGGTGCAAGTCGGAGGGGACCCTGATCGACCTGAGTGAGGGGTTTTCAGAGACCAGCTTTAATGATGTCAAAGGTGAGCCCTGGTCAGCCACGGAGGGGAGGCCTGGGGCTGCCGGTGCCTCAGACCCAAGGGCCCCTCTACCCAACAGGCACCGGCTTCACGCTCAGCTGAACTGTAGCTCTGCATCCTGTTACAAATTCCTCCCTGCAACGGCGGCCCTTGGTCTGGGTGTTTGGTGTGGGGCGGCGGTTTTGATGGGACCCCTCCTTTGTCCACGTCTCTTCTCTTGGTGACAGTATTGGTGACAGTAAGTAGCCTGGTGGTTCTGACATCTAGGGAAAGGAGGGTGTTGTAAGTAGGTGAAATATTGGGAACCACCAGAAGAGAAGCAGGTGGCCTGGGGCAGGGAGGAGACCTGTCCTCGCAGGGTCTGTCCTTTATTTTAGTCCCACAGCCGGTCAGTGAAAGCAGACATAGACGGGGTGACCAGGTGGACAAGTCTGGGTGCTGGTTCAGCTTTACAGAGCCAGCTACATTGGATCGTGTGACCCGTGTCTAGGAGGTGGCCACAGGGTTCAGGCACCGGGCTCCCTGGCGGATGGCCTCATTGGGTTGGGTTGAGGAGGACCCCGATCTTGAGACACTTTGGAGACTTCCGGCTTCCTCGGCAACCACCCTGCCCTCCTAGGCCACGTCTAGGGTCGCGTGCTCCCTGGTGCCCTGGCAGCTGCAGCTGTGGCCGTATTGTCACAGGCTTTGGCCTTCGGAGCAGTTGACGCAGTTGATCACCCAGGTCCTCCCGGAGCACGGCTGGGCAGGAGGGACTTTCCCACAGTCCTCCAGATGCATGTGTGCCCCCACCCTGTGTCCGCAGCAGCCTGGCTGCTGGCCCGTTGATTGGCAGCTGCCCTCCACCGCCTCCCTAGCGCCTCCCTCGTCCTGTCCCTGGTTTACCCTTGCTGCCTGAGCATCACTTTGAATGAGACCAGCACCTGGAACCGCCAGGGGAGTGGGCAGCAGGGTTCATGTGGGTCACCGTAAACAACCAAGCCATTCGCCTCTCAGCCTGATCGCGGGCTTTGTTTTCTTACTTTATAGCCAAACAGGCAGGTTTAAAGCTGGAGAGCAGAGCCTAACTTGGGGCCTATGGGCCTTAAAGTAACCAGGGTACAGAGCCCGTGTTTTAACATAGTGATGATAATCCTGAGCATGAGCAGGGCCAGTTCGGTGGTGGAGAAGGCGCCGAGAATTAGGGCAGATAGGACCTCAGGACCTGCACCCACGCGAGACCCTCTGGAGTCTGACGGCCAGGGCCGGCCGGCAGCTGCCCATGCACCATCCAGGTGCAGACTTCCAGGGGAGTGCACCGTGCAGCCAGGATTCCTGCCGGGAAGTCTTCTCCCCTCATCGGTGCTTTGCTGACAGCCTGGGCAGAGGATAGAAGATGTATTACTGGGTGCACCAAACTTGTCACGCTCAGGGAAGTTTGGGTATTAAAATCAAGGTAATTGTGAATGTGGGCACGCTCCCCAGACTTCATTAAATGGGATTCGACAGGGATTTCTGGCACTGGATGGGGTGTGTCCCCGGGTGCCCCTTGGCAGTGACTGATGGAGGCCACATACAGAGAGTCCCACCACAGCCCACCTCCGTGGGGTCTCCACGGGAGGAGGGCCCTTCCCCTCGGCTACGCCTGATCCTTGGGCCAAGTGTGTTGTGCTTCTCTTCCGAGGAGAGTGCTTGGGATTTTAAGCCGTCTCATTCTTCAGTTGGCAAAACTAACAGGATAACTCGCATTGATAGGCGTTAGGCTGTGCACAACGCATGCGTAATTGCTTTGTTTTTTTTTTTTTGTTTGTTTTTTTTTTAAATACTGGAGATATTACTGTAGGGGAATTAATTACTCCAGAGGAACAATAATGAGGCTATAACTTTGGAGGGACTGTAACAGGATTTTAAAGGCTGGCGAGCTTTATGCAAGTCTCATTGGGTTTTCATTTTTATTTCCAGTGGATGTGTCGAGGAAATAGTATGGTCTGTGTTGCCGGAGACCTTGACCAGCCACAGGAACAGGAGAGAGGCCGGTGGTCACAGAAGTCCACTGACCTCAGCCTGACCCAACTCCCTGTTCCCTCAAAGCCATTCTTGGGGCTTAGAAAATGATACCTCAACAGGAAGCACAGACTGTCTGACCTCCTGCCCCCCATCTCTCGTCCTCTTCCTCTCTCAAGGAGCGGGGAGAAACTAGAATTCCTCTTCCCTGGGGGGGTCAGAGGAGCCAGAGCCCCCACCAGCTGGGAAGGTACCACCCTGACCTTGCTGGGTGGAAGAATTTAGGGTGCTCCCTCCAGAAGGGGAAAGGGGTACAGCCGAGGGGCCAGGAAGGGTCTGCGGACAGGCCGCTGGTTCTCTGGGCTCCCCAGCTCTGGTGCGCCTGCCTCTGCGTGGCTGCGGCGGTGTCTGCTCACCCACTGTGACTGCGGGTCTTTGGGTCTTAATCCCGCAGAACCGCGCTACCTCGGAGTTAGTGGTGCCTCTGTCCTGCTGGTCTGCTTGGGGAAGCTGTAAAGCTGCAGGCCCGCCCTCGACACCCCACGGCTCCCCACGCCTCGCCCCGTGCCTTCCCCTGTCCACACACCCACTGGGCCTCTGTCACACAGCGCTGTCCTCTGTCTTGGTCCCACAGAGAACACGGACAGCCGATGGCGTTCCACAGGACCCAGCACTGGCCCAGGCCACTGTACATTCTCCCGCCTTGTTGGCTTTCCCTAAAAGCCATTTGCGTTTCCCCCAAACTCGCCTGCACCCCCGTCCCCTGCTGTATAGAGTGGGTTCTGTGTGCTCCGGGCCGTGGTCTCCCCTGTAGGCCTTCCCCCTTCGCACATCGGCCTTTTTCTATGTGTTTTCTCCTGCCTCATGTCTCTCTCGTGTCTGTGCAGTGCCTTCTCCCAGTGCCTTGCTGGCCGACACCCCCACCCCTTTTGGAAACGCCAAGGAAGTGATCGCCATCAAGGACTACTGCCCCACCAACTTCACCACCTTGAAGTTCTCCAAGGGCGACCACCTCTACGTCCTGGACACGTCTGGCGGGGACTGGTGGTACGCACACAACACCACCGAGATGGGCTATATCCCCTCCTCCTACGTGCAGCCCTTGAACTACCGGAACTCCACCTTGAGCGACAGCGGCATGATAGACAATCTTCCAGACAGCCCGGACGAGGCAGCCACGGAGCTGGATCTGCTCGGGGGGTGGACAGACGACCAGAAGGGATGCGGCAAAGCGCACAGTAATAACCCTTTTTGGAGCGGGGTCCAAACAAACCCTTTCCTGAATGGGAACGTGCCGGTGATGCCCGGCTTGGACGAGCTGACTCCCAGAAGCACCGTGGACCTGCTGCTGTTTGATACCGGAACATCCTCCTTCACTGAATCCAGCTCTGCCACCACCAACAGCACCGGCAACATCTTCGACGAGCTCCCGGCCACCCATGGACTCCACGCCGAGCAGCCTGTCAAACGGGACAACCCCTTCTTTAGAAGCAAGCGATCCTACAGCCTGTCCGAGCTCTCCGTCCTGCAAGCCAAGTCAGAGGCGCCCACCACGTCGAGTTTTTTCACAGGTTTGAAATCCCCTGCTCCCGAGCAGTTTCAGAGCCGGGAGGACTTTAGGACTGCGTGGCTGAACCACCGGAAGCTGGCCCGGTCTTGCCATGACTTGGATCTGCTCGGCCAGAGCCCAGGCTGGGGCCAGACACAAGCCGTGGAGACGAACATTGTGTACAAGCTGGATAGTTCTGGGGGTGCCGTGCAGCTCCCAGACACCAACATCAGCATCCACGTGCCCGAGGGCCACGTCGCCCCTGGGGAGACGCAGCAGATCTCCATGAGAGCCCTGCTGGACCCCCCGCTGGAGCTCAACAGCGATAAGTCCAGCAGCATCAGCCCCGTGCTGGAGGTCAAGCTCAGCAACCTGGAGGTGAACACCTTCCTCATCTTAGAGATGAAGGTTTCTGCTGAGGTGAAAAACGACATTTTTAGCAAAAGCACAGTAGGTCTCCAGTGTCTGAGGAGCGACTTGAAGGAAGGGCCGTACCTGCCCATCCCACTCACCTACAGCCATGGGGACACCGTCCAGGTGCAGCTGGACAACCTGGAGCCCTGCATGTACCTGGCCATGGTGGCCCACGGCCCAAACATTCTCTACCCTTCCACCGTGTGGGACTTCATCCATAAGAAGGTCACCGTGGGTCTCTACGGTCCCAAACACATCCACCCCTCCTTCAAGACGGTAGTGACCATTTTCGGGCATGACTGCGCCCCCAAGATGCTCCTGGTGAGCGAGGTCACACGGCAGGCCCCCAGCCCTGCCCCCGTGGCTCTGCATCTGTGGGGAAAGCACCAGTTCCTCCTGTCCAGGCCCCAGGACCTCAAAGTCTGCATGTTTTCCAACATGACCAACTACGAGGTCAAGGCCAGCGAGCAGGCCCGAGTGGTGAGAGGCTTCCAGGTGAAGCTGGGCAAGGTGAGCCGCCTCGTCTTCCCCATCACCTGCCAGAGCCCCGGCGAGCTCTCGGACTTCACGCTGCGGGTGCAGGTGAAGGATGACCAGGAGGCCATCCTGACCCAGTTCTGCATCCAGACGCCACAGCCTCCACCCAAGAGTGCCATCAAGCCGTCCGGGCAGAGGCGGTTTCTCAAGAAGAACGAGGTGGGGAAGATCATCCTGTCCCCGTTTGCCGCCACCACCAAGTACCCGACGTTTCAGGACCGGCCCGTGTCCAGCCTCAAGTTCGGCAAGCTGCTCAAGACGGTGGTGAGGCAGAGCAAGAACCACTACCTGCTGGAGTACAAGAAGGGGGACACGGTGGCTCTGCTCAGCGAGGAGCGCATCCGGCTGAAGGGGCAGCTGTGGACCAAGGAGTGGTACATCGGCTACTACCAGGGCAAGGTGGGCCTGGTGCACGCCAAGAACGTGCTGGTGGTCGGGAGGGCCAGGCCCAGCCTGCTCTCGGGCCCCGAGCTGAGCACCTCGGTGCTGCTGGAGCAGATCCTCCGGCCCTGCAAGTTCCTCACCTACATCTACGCCTCGGTGCGGACCCTGCTCATGGAGAACATCAGCAGCTGGCGCTCCTTCGCGGACGCTCTGGGCTATGGGAGCCTGCCGCTCACCTTCTTCTGCCGGGCGGAGCTGGACAGCGAGCCCGAGCGTGTAGCCTGTGTCCTGGAGAAGCTGAAGGAGGATTGTAACAACCCCGAGAACAAAGACCGCAAGTCCTTCCAGAAGGAGCTCGTGATGGTGAGTGTGTGGCGGGAGTGGGCCCCTCTCCACCCCACGGCCACTCTGGGACGGCGTCCCGGGGGCAGATCTGTGGCTGGGCTGGGGGTAGGCTTGCAGGGTGCAGAGCTGCCCAGGAGGAGACCACCTGGGTCTGTGTCCCCACTGCCTTCGTGGCTCCTTGGTGGTCTTGGAATGGAGCCGGTGGGGTGGGGGCGCAGGGCCTGTGCTCTGCACCCCTGGGCCACTTGGGAACAGGTCCCTGTGGGGTGTGTGGCTCAGCAGTGGCCAGGACCCCTCTCCACCGCCCGGTTTGTCTGGGTGATTCTCACCCTGTCTCCTCCTGCTCCCCCTCCACTGCTCTCCCTCCTCCCTTTCCTGGGTGCCTTGGATTTGGGGTGGGTTCAGCCTTTGCTTGGCCAGCACAAATGGCAGGCCACGGGGAGAGTCCTGAGTTTTAAGTTTCAGGGATCACCTCCGATTGATCACCTGAAACCTCACCCCTCCATCCATCCCAAGTTCTAAGGAATGAACAGGGGACAGGTCACACTGTGGATATGCCTGACCACAGACCACCTGGAGGCGCTTCCAGAGCTGTTTGCAAGTCCTCCAGTGGCCCGGGCTTCCCAATTTCGCTCCCTACAGGACCCCACCTCTGACTCTGGTAGTCACCCTTGGCTCCCTGGTTGTCCCTGGGATGGACATTGTCCCCTGAGCTCTCTATGTGACAGAAGTGGATTCAGCTGCATCCTGCAGGTGGGGACCTGTCCCTCTGACCTTGCAGATCCTCTCCCAGGTTCTGCTGATCCAGCAGCCCTCCCGCCCCCTGTCCTGGTAGGAGCCGCTCCCGGTGCCAGCCTCGCTGCCACTCTCCCACTCTCTGCCTTCGCCCCACACCTGCCCTCTGCAGCGCATCTCCACACACGGCAGGTGCACCTGAACTGACCTACCTGAGCACCCAAGGGTCACGCCCCCCACATCCAGCTGCCCCCTCGGAGCCACGGGCCTCTGTCTGCAGAGAGCATGTGTGGCAGCCTGGTAGGCAGCGGCACGGGAGGAGACCCTGGACAGAGGCCCGCAGTACTGCAGGGTGCAGAGCATGGGGCCAACCTCGGAGGTTGCTGGGAGGGAGACGGGCAGTTAGAAGGGCAGCCTGGACAGCCAGGAGGTCCTGGGCAGTGGTGGCAGTGCTTCATTGGAAGGAAGCCGAGGCTGGTTAATGAGTGGAGGCAGCAAGGAACCTCTGTGGGACTTGGGTGGCACCCCCAGGGGTAGCGCAGTGGCTCTCTCCAGCTGCTGCCCCTCTGCCCTGCAGCACACCCCCGTCCACCTGTAAAGCTCCCACTGGGGCTTGCGGGCACCAGGCACAGCATGAAGTCCAAGAGCTCGCCGGGGCTCGCCGGGGCTCTGGCAGGTGATGGGGAAGAGGTGGCTCACCTTGCCCAGCTTCACTGGAACCCTCTCACCACTCGGGCCTGCCTGCTGGCCTTGACCTTGTAGAGGTCATGTTGGAAAACATGCAGACTTTGAGGTCCGGGTCTCTGTGGCTGCACCTGGCTCTGCTGTGCTCCCTGGGAGATCCCTGAGGCCGCGTTCCTGTTGATGGTGGAATTAGGTGCCTTCATGGAACATAAACGATATTGATTGTTCTTTGCTGAAGCTGAGAATGTGAGTGGGCAGAGGTGAGAGACGAGGCGGCACACAGTTCCCACTGAGGACAGTGACGGGGTTGGTTTTATGCTCAGTTCCAGTTACTTAAATGACCAAACTCGTTATATTCCATTGGTGACTTTGGAGAGGATTTCTGTCTCCTTGAGTTAGTCGGGAGGGTTGGGGGTTTTGTGTGCCTCTGAGCCCCCTCCACCCACCTCTGCCCAAGGACAGGAGGCCATCTTGACCTTGTCTTACTTTTGCTGAGGCAAGGTGAGTCTCTCCAATCGAGTGAAACTGACCTTGCAGTGCCCTCCCACCATTGCCTGGCACAGCCACCACCCTGGAGCCGGAAATGTTGGCCACGGTCCCAAAGCCACGGCTGGCTTCTCCGGGCACTGGCAGCGGGCGGCATTGCCCAGGCTTCTGTTCCCTGGCGAGTCGGGCTCCTCCAGCCGTAGTCCCGCTCCCAGGAACTCCAGCCGACCCCCCACCTGCTTCCCATCTTCAAGATGCCTTCTGTGTGGTCACTGGGATCCCTGGCTTAGTAAGTGGTGTCTCAGTGACCTAGGAAGGCAGGGGTTGCCACCCAGGGAAGAAGACGGTGCCACCAGCCAGGGTTGTCCACCTCTTCACGGCTACCAACTCTTCCTGCCCCCGGGCCTGCAAGGCCTGTCCTCCCCCGCCACCACCACCACGTCCAAGCCATCTCACAGGGAAGCGGCTCCTGGACCAGGGTGGCCCCATGTCCAGCTCCGTGCAATTGTCCTCCTGTGCCCGCCCACGGTAGGGTCTGTTGGCTCCATGGAGTAAGGACCTGGCTCGGGAAACACTCAGGATTCAGTGACTGAGGCAGCAAGTGACTAAAGACGGGTCACCACGTGGGGGGCAGTGGCTCCGTGGCAGGTCCAGGCCGCACTGCGAACCTGAGCTTCTCATCCCTCACACTGCCGTCCCTCGCCCACGTTTGGGGGTTGGGGGAGCACCTGTGACCCAAGGCCTCTGCCCACTCCTCCCGGTGCTTGTGCCTCAGAGGATGCTTCTCCACCCTGGCCACCCAGCTGCCCAGCAGGAGCCATGACTGTCCAGAATGGCAGAGGATGAGACCCAACCCTGGTGACAACCCAGGCCTTGTTGATGGAGGGGGATGAGGCTAGGGGAGTGGCACCAGGGTGGACAGCCCTGGAGCCCTGGGGTGGAGAAGGCCTGGGAGGGTCTCCGGCTGGGCAGGCCCTGACGTGGGCACCGTGGGTTTGAAGATCTGGGAAGTCAGAGTGTCGTTGAGGTGGGCTGGGGCCACCCAGGGGTGTGAGGGGGCTTGGCCACAGCTTCGTGCAGAGCCAGGAGTGGGTGCTGGGCTCGGGACCCACTGGACGTCACAGCCTGCTGCTGGGCTCTCCAGGACCCTGGGCTTTCCCGTGAGACAATCTTGGCCTGAACTTCTGTGGGAGCCCAGGACAGGAGAAGGCGAGGAGATGAGAGGCCAGTGGGGCCTGTGGATGGGGTGGCCACGGGAAGGCGGTCAGCTTGCCGTCACAGCCTGGGCAGGGCCAGGCAGGCCAAGAGCCATGGAGCGGGGCTGAGGTCCTGCGGCTTGGCAAGGAGGGGGCTGTGGTCATGGAATCAGGGGCCGGGGGCCAGGGTGGAGCCCCCCGGGTGGTGAGTGTTCTCCCTGTCACCTGTGGGCCCTGGGAGGGTGTCGAAGGGGAGACGGTGGGACGTGACGAGGTCTGCTCCTGGTCCCCCGCAGCTTTTGAGTCCAGGAGTGTCCCTGCCCCTTGACACTGGCAGGCTCCTGCAGGTGCCTGAGGCGGCTTCTCCCCCCTCACTGCACTCCTGGCGGTCGGGGGTGAGGGCCTGCTGCCCTGCCTTTCTTGGCCCCCGACCAGCCGTGACGGGAAGCTCTGTCTTGGTGCCGTGGGCCGTAGCTGGTGGCTGCCTCGTCCAGCTGTGGGAGGTAAACGGGGTGACGCGGGCGTCCTGGAGATGACGCTCCTGTGAGAGAGAAGGGGAAGGCCTTACTGCAGGACCCACATCCAGGAGGGTGTCGTTTGCAGAGCGGAGCAGGGACTGAGGTGTCCCCCAGACACTGGAAAGCTAGAGGGGAGGGGCTGTAGAGGGCTGGGGGGTGCCTGTGAGTCGGGAAACCCACCTTATCCTGCAGAGGAGCAGTCCCCAGTGACTGTGCCTTAGCCAGGCACAGAGGGTCCCCTCCAGGAGGCCTGGGGCGGCCACACTGCTAACTGCGCTGTTAGTCCAGGAGGGAGGGCCAGCGGCCGTCAGCCACCAGGGTGGGTGAGGAGGGCCTCTCTCCCAGAGCTCGGGCATCTTGGGAACAGAGGCGGGTGGAGCAGCTGGACAGCAAACCCAAAGGGCCCCTCCCTGTGCTTCCTAAAGCCTCTTACCAGGCTGGTGCGGAGGCCTCAGGTGCCTGTTCCTGGGAGTGTCTTCCCACTGGGCCCTTTGTCTGCCTGCATCTAGAGCAGCCTCAGGCCCTGTCTGCAGAGAAGTCACAACAGACTGTGGCCCACAAAGCCCCGGGGATTTAGGATCTGACCCTCTGGAGGTGAAGTTTGCTTACCCTGGAGGTGAAGTTTGCTTACCCCGACTTCAATCATAGTTCCCACAAACTAACACAATTCCCGTGACGTCGGCATTGTGTGGTCTCGCTGGGTGTTTTCTGGCTCACCTGTGTGTGAAAAAATGAAGAGGAAGTCTCAGGGCTGGGGTCCCAGAGCAGAGCGTCCTGCTGTGAACCATGTCCCTTGCTCAGATGTGGCCCCCGATCCTGTGGGCAGCCTGGTAACCAACTGAGCTAACGCTGGGCTGGTGGCATAAGTGGAGGCAAGGGCCTGGTCACCCTCCTTTCCAGAGATGGCCAGAGAGTAGACTGGCTTGGCTTGCCTGGGCCAGGAGTAGCTCGACTCCTAAGCAGGTGACTTTGACTTGTCTCGCTACCTGGAACGTGAGGCACCTGCGTCTGGTGTGGTGCGAGCAGAGCTGAATGGGAACACCTGGTGGCTACGCGTCGGCCTTGTGGTCACCTGGCGCCCCAGCAGCCCTGCACACACCCACCCCCACTCACACAAACACATACACTTAGACGATCTTTTTCTCTTTCTATGCCTAGTAAACATTTTATTTTCTCAAAACATTTTAGTTCTAATATATCAAAGTTCAAATGGATATCGACCACTTTCTGAAACCGTCGGTAGTTGAAATGAACCGTAACCTGTGCAGACCAGGGTTTTATTGGCTCAATTCCTGATGTCACCTGTTGCCCCAGAGCTGGAAGGGCCAGTGGCCTGAGCCTCAGGAGGCCTGGACCTGCCTGCACTCTGCGCCCCCAGCTGTGGGGCCTGGACAGGACCCAGGAGGGGGCAGGCGTGTCTGTTGCTTGTCTGTTAAACAAGACCCTGGTGTCTGGGCCACACCCCAAGGGGAAGCCCGGGACCAACAGCTGGAAGCCAGTGTGACTCTCACCTTCTGGTGGAAGCCCATTCACTGTCCCCCGTGTGAGCTGCCCCAATGGGGCAGAGTTGGCACCTACTTCAAAGGGTGGCCTCTTATCCTAAGGACTTGGTCATGGTGGCCCCCAGTCCCCCGGACCTCATCTTAGCTGCAAAGCCCGTTTCCCAGTAAGGTCCCTTTCTGAGGCTCTGGGACTTGAACCTTGGAGGGAAATGGTGTCCAGCCCTGACCTGCACACTGCCCCGTCCCTGCTGGGAGCCCGCAGTGCTCATGGGGCCAGGGGATTTCCATGACCTCAGAGCTGTGGGTGACAGCACCCCTCCACGTGGGCATTCCCTGGGAAGCCAGGCCCAGCTCTGTCCCCCTCACGCTGTGCCTCTCGCTCCCCAGGCCTTACTGAAGATGGACTGCCAGGGCCTGGTGGTCAGGCTCATCCAGGACTTTGTGCTCCTGACCACAGCCGTGGAGGTGGCGCAGCGCTGGCGGGAGCTGGCTGAGAAGCTGGCCAAGGTCTCCAAGCAACAGATGGACGCTTACGAGTCTCCCCACCGCGACAGGAATGGGGTGGTGGACAGTGAGGTGAGCGAGGCCCGGCTCCCGGTGCTGGGCTCCCAGGACCCTGGGTGCAGCCGTGGCAGGTGTGGCCGTGGCACCAGGTGAGCCACGCCTGAGCCTGGCCCGCAGAGCAGAAGCAGTCGGGGTGTCCTGGGGTCGTCTGGGGGAGGCCTCCCGCAGAAACGGGCCGGGCGGATGCTGCCCTCCTCTGCACGTTTCTCCTCGGACTCCTCTCACCCCTGCTGGGTGTCTAGGGACTGAGGCAGCTGCGCTGCCCCCCACGCCCACCCTAACCTTTCTCTCCTTTCCCTGCTTTTGCTCTTTGGGACTCCATCTCCCAGGCCATGTGGAAACCCGCGTATGACTTCTTGCTTACCTGGAGCCACCAGATCGGGGACAGCTACCGGGATGTCATCCAGGAACTGCACCTAGGCCTGGACAAGATGAAAAACCCCATCACCAAGCGCTGGAAGCACCTCACGGGGACGCTGATCCTGGTGAACTCGCTGGACGTCCTGCGAGCAGCCGCCTTCAGCCCCGCTGACCACGATGACCTGGTCATCTGAACAGGCGCCCTGAGCACAAGGCTGCGAGCCGTCACCAGAGCCCCATGCTGTCACCAGGGGCGGCGGGGAGCGGGAAGGCTGCTCCCACGGAGGGGGTCGCCACCCAGCCCCGGGCTGGGGACAGGGACACATGAGGCTCTGCCCTTGTCTGCGTCCAGGGACAGCCAGGGGGCTTTCTACTGCAGGTTGTTGCCAATCAAATAGCTTTCTATTTGTGTAAGTGTGAATTAAATTCAAATCACTTTTTTAAAAAAGACCAGGGAAGGAACCTGAGAAAGTTGGGATCTAATTTTTTAATGGACTGTAAAGATTAAAAAAATCTTAGTAGGGGCAGATGCTGTTGAGGTTTTTATGTTGTCGAAACACTTTTTAAATTATGTTACAGATGTACATAGGTATTTAAAGGCCGTGGGTGCTTCTGCTTCCCAGCCCGCGTCTCCCCCCAACAGGGAGGGGCGGCTCTGTGGGCTCCTTCTCACTTCCTGCCCCCACACACGCAGGCCAGTCGGGCGGCGGGATGGGTCTTCAGTGAGAGGACAGCCCACCCGTGCTCCCCACCTGCGGCCACTCCACCGACATTTCTGTGGCCCTCTGCCTTTGCCTCGTGCTGTAGTCAGTGAGCATCCACAGAGCATGGCAGTCTCTGTGGGCTTCGGTGGGTGGGCAGTTACTCCCCACAGTATGCCCTTGAGATGTGTCCACTAATAGCTTAGAGAGCAGCTGGAAGGTGACATTCCTGTGGCCCCTGCCTGTGTGCAATGAGTCATTCAAAAGAACGTGCCACTGGACGTGAGGAGGTCCTGCAGCTCTTGACCATCATGTGGTGTGTCCCTTGGGGGCACGGGTGCTCTGCAGCCCCGGGGTAGACAGAAAGACTCACCACCCGACCAGAGCCGGGAGGCTCCATGCTCCCAGAGACCCAGGTCACCTCCCAGGTGTGCCGTGCACCGGGTGCAGAGGTGACAGCTGCCAAACTCCACATTTCCTTTTGTCTACGTGGAACACTTCTCCCCTCCCGGTGCACCCCCATCTCCTCTGAAGTGCATCATGTCGATAAAAACAGTTTGGGCACAAGGTCCAGACCGTCCGGGCGGGTTGAACATTTTCCCACAGAGTCAGGAGCTTGGCTGTCGAGAAGCTTGGGCTGTGCTGGGTCGAATCCCGCCGCCACCCTGTAGCTGCAGCCCCTAGGAAGGAGCGAGAGGCAGGACTAATGCTGGTGGGTCACAGAGTGATGGCCCCAGTCAGGGCGTCCACCTTGGGGACGCCGAGCCTCGCGCTTTCCTGACACGTGTTACTTAGTTAAAGGATGTGTAATCCCCTGTTCGGCTGGAACACTGTCACGCACCACTGATTGCGGCACTCAAGACCAACCGACAGAAATACAAACGCTCCATACTTCACGCTGCAAGAATAAAGCCACATGAGTCCCCAATCATCGCACAGATGACCTTACGTCCTGCCTCCGTGCTCCTCACCCTCCTCTGCCCAGAGATCACCTCTCACCTTTTCCCCAAAGACGACAAACCAGTTGCACCTTAAACCATGGGTATTTTTCCTCAGGGGCTTTAAATAGTTTCCTATGCAACGTGTCTTGTAGCACAAATCAAATTCTACAAAAGTTGCAGTAAATTTTATTTGGATATTTTAACCTGTTAAGTGTGTGTGTGTGTGTTCTGTCCCTGTCCAGTGGAACTTTAAGTAAAACGAAAGCACAGTCTACTTGCGCACCTGTGCAGGCTGACGGCTCCTCCTCTGAGCCCCCATGGCAGTGACGGCTGGAGGGGGAGCCCCGTTTTCCCGCTGTTAATTGTACTGCTCTCGACACAGGTCACTGCCCCACACTGACAGGGAGTCTGTGTCACCAGGAGACAAGTTGGAGTCGTGCCTTGTTCTTGGCCCATGTCCCTGGAGGTGGCAGCCCTCAGCTCCTTACGTGAACTGCAGGGCTGGCTGGCTGTCCCTGTGTGTGCCAGGCATCGCCTAGGGGTGCTCAGTCCTGGGGTATTCACTGCAGCGGGCTCAGAGCCCCCACCCCAGCAGTGCTGCGCTGCTGGGGAGAAGAACAGGCACAGGGCCTCTCCTGGAGGTCAGGGGAGGGCAGGTGCTGTATGGAAAGCCTCTGAGAATGACTTCAACCCAGGGTCCAAGCTGGGGTGGGCACCAGCTGGACCAAGACAGACCTGGGAGAGCAGGTCAGGGTACGGCACAAGAAGCGGCGTTGACACAGGAGGCCTGGGGCAGTGAGCGGGGCCGGAGCGCCCCCACGGAGGGCTCCGCACAGGAGCAGAAGCCCAGGAGCTTGGCGCTCTCCTCTGTAGGTAGCCTGATTCCAGCTGCTGAAGTTTGGATCTGCAGCATCCCAGAGGCCCACTGGTAAGGACTGGGTCCCCAGAGTGGCAGAACTGGGAGGAGGAGGAGCCTTCAAGAGGTGGGGCCCAGTGAGAGGAGGTGAGGCTGTTGGGGCATACCCTGGAGGGGATTGTGGGATACACTGGTTTCCTCCCCTATTGGACATCCCTGGGCCACGAGGTAGATGGGCCTCCTTTGCCATGTGCCCCCTGCCATGTTGTGCTGTGCTGCCCAAAAGCAGCAGAGCCCATCAATTAAGGACTGAAACCACCAAAAACTGAGGCAATAAATAAATAAAAACCTTTTCTCTTTATAAATTATCATTTCTGGATTTTTGTTATAGTAGCAGGAAGCTATCGCCAGATGTACCAGCTCCTACATGTCCTCACACACATTTTACAGTTAAGGACACACTTCCGTGTGGTCTCATAACTTGCATGAAGCTGATAAGAAAGGGAGCTTAGGGGAACCAGAAATGCATTCTTTCTTGGTTCTGGAGGCCAGAAGTCCAAAATCAGACTGTCTTCACTTGGCTGCATCTGCAGATACCTGGGGCCTGAGGATGGAACAGCTGCAGGTCTCGGGGTTCAGGCTTCCAACACATCTGGGTCGCACCCTCTCTCTCTCTTGGCCCAAGGACTTCCATCAGACTCTGCAGTCTGTTGATGCTGATCTTGACATCGATAATCATAAATACAAGTGATGGAATTTGTAGGGGCTCTTTAGGACAAAATATTCAGGGGAAAGACTTGGTTGAAAAGATTTGTTCTCTGGTTTGTGGAGGGAAGATTGTGTCCCTGATAGATTCACACCTTGATCTTTCCCTGTGAAGTCAGAGCACGTGCCAAGTCATTTATTTTGCAGTGGCCAGCACCTGCTGAGTATCGACAGCTGCAGTAGCAATCAGATGTGGGCCTGTACCCAAGTCCCCTCTCCTCCAGCGGCCACCAGGTCCCGCAGCCATTCCTAAGACCTCTTCTTTCTCCCTGTGCCCAGCCTGTGGCCCTCTCCTGTCCCTGCCAACGTCACCACACATGAGCCCTTTGATGACAGCTCATCTCTGAATCCCAGGAGCACATGCCGCAGGAGAGAATTGGTCCTCACTGTGACAGAAATGAGTTTCGAGAGTGAAATGGCTCGGGCTGTGGGGCTTCATGCTGTGTTTACCACCAACATGGAAAATAAGTGCAGACGTGTCCACCAGTGAATCGCATCAGCCTAGATTCTGGGAGGTCTGAGGGCCATCGCGGGGAGGGAGCTCCATCAAGTACTCACCAGGACACTACATTTCTTAATACATCATTTTTTGGCACAAGGGGAATGTTTTCAGTTTAGTCCAGTTTTATGCAAAATAGATTGAAATGAAGCTGCCTAACCCTGCTGTGGAGCCCTTGGGCCATTTGATAAAGGCAACAGCGCCTCAGAATTATGTAAATGCATAAAATAAAACCTGGGTGAACAAAGGAGAGCCGTCTTATTTACACAGTTACCAAAGATTCTTTTTTTAATTGTGCTGCAGTAACGGTGCTTCCTTGTGCAACATGAGCAGGCTAGCCGTGGGCCCCGCCTCCCCGAAAACCAGAGACGGGGCGGGTCCAGGAACACAGGTCTGCAATGTCAAGTTCTCTGCTCCTGCATCTCCCAGGAAATGCTCATGTTCAGCTAGAGGTCGATGAGAGTCAAGATGTCCTTTCACCCTTGTTTCTGTGAAAAAGAAAGGTCTCATCCGAGGGACACGAGCCACCCAGGCTTGCTGGCACGTTGTTTCAAAGTCGCTGGTGTCAGTGTTCTGTGCTCCTCACTGGCAATGGGGGTTTCTTAAAGATTCGTTTTTCTGGTTCAATTTTCTTTCTAATGGAGGAGACAGAAGGACCTCATTGGCTGTGGATGGGTTTTTAAGCATCTTCCTTTAAGAATACCTGTATGGCTCACAGTCGTGTATTGACTGCGGACGTGGACGAATTCTTCACTTTGGGGAGCAGGGAAAGTCTGCCCATGCCACGCCACCAGACGAAGCTGGGGGGCAGGCACTGCTCCTCGGCCTGTGTTAACCGATGGCCCTCCTGGGCATGTGGGGCATCCAAGGGGCATCCAGGGAAGAAAGAACCAGTTCCTGGCTGCCAGCGTTTATGCATTTGTGACCGTCAGGCCCAGAGCAAACACGGGAGCACAAGCAAGGTCCACCAATGTCCGGCCAGGCAAGAGGAGGGCGCCTGCCGTGGTCCATGGGAGCCCACGGGGCCACATGCCAGGGAAAGCATTATAAATCAGATTCATAGTAGGTGTGAGGTCAGGTAAAGGTACGTGCTGTGGGGAAAGAGGTGGCTTACAAGGACCCCAGGGCCAGAGGAGCAGGGTGACCCTGGAGGGCCTCTGACCCGCAGGTCCCAGTCCACGGGTTCAACCCACCATATAAAGGAAGTATTTGGAAGGCTGGGGATGTGGTCAGTGCTGGAGCGCCTGACTGGCATGCTTGAGGCCCAGGGTTCAATCCCCAGCACAGGGTGGGGGGTTGGTACATGGAGGAAAAGTCCCATCTGCCCCGAGAAGGTGCGCGGTCACTCCTAGTCATTGTTCTTGTCCATGCGCCGTCAGGACTGCGCGTTCACATAGCATCACGTCCTTTGGAGCGGGATCTGGAGATGGTCTAACGCACCCCAGGAGATATGCCAAGGTTATGTGCAGACACACCATTTTGTAGATGGGATTAAGCCCCCTGGGATCTTGGAATCTGGGGGACCTGGATCAATCCCCATGCATACCCCTCAGATCCTGTACTAAAGGATTTCTGGAAAATCCCCCAATACTTGGAAATCACACACTTTGAATCATGAGTCCAAAGAGTCATCAGGGAAGTTAGAAAATGCTAGAATGGGAAGGAAAGCCAGGTGCCAGGCGCGCAGGGTGCTGCGGACATGGTGCTCCAGCTGCTGTGTGTGAGGTGCTCTTAGTGCGCTCGTTACCGAGGCGAGGGGTCCTAGAACCGACCCCTCAGGGCAGCCGTAGCTCAGGAAAGTTGGAGTCTAAGGGGCTTGAAAAGAGCAA